AATATAGCAAAAACTAGTTGTTTGTTTTTTGCAGTCAACATGTGAATTAAGACTTTTTTCTGTAAGCAGAACACAATTGTGAAAATAATACAATAAACTTAAAAAAAAAATTAAAAATACAGAATGTTGTAGTTTAATTTTTAAAAAATATATTTTTACAGTTACCATGTAAATTAATATTTTTTTCTGTAAGCAGAAGACTGAACAAAAAAAACAAAAAAAAAACTTAAAATGCAAAATATTCAGAAAAAGTAAAAAAACGTAAATGATATAATTTTCTGTTTTTAAAATTGTAAAAATTAGTTGTTGTTTATTTTTACAGTCAACATGTACTTTTTTCGTGGGATTTTAACAGATATTATCTGAATTTACCAAAACAGGAAAAATCTGTAAAATATTATTAGTTAGTGACGTTATTTTACTGATATTTACCGTTTAAAAAAAAAAAAAAAATCTATATATTAATGATGAAAAAACTGAGAATATTCTTTAAACAGATTTTGTTTTTCTGATTTTTTTTAAATCACAGAAAAAGTTATTAATTTACATGTTGACTGAGAAAAAAACAGTAAAAACTGTAAATAATGTTCACATCAGAGACAGGTATTTTTACAAATTAGCATCTTTAATAATGTCTGATTGTACTTAAATCAGCTAAAAAAAAAGAATTTTCACAGTTCCTTTTTTACAGGTTTTAAATGTCACAATATTCCACAATTTTCAGACGTAATTTTTAGATTTTTCTTCTTAATGTTTTCACCGTTAGCCTCAGTTTTTTAGAGTATTTTCTAAAATGTGCGACGTTGCTGTTAAACTCTGGCTGCATGTCTACAGTAACTTACTGCAATACGTCATAAAACAACTATATATATATATGTGTGTGTGTGTGTACAATAACAAGATATTTTAGGGGTTCTAGTATAAAAACTATTTTTGCGCTCAGTGAAAAGTTCTGCATGTCTTTACATGGCAGGGTCACGGCCGGCTCAGCTCGGCTGTTTGACGGGTCACGGAGCGTTTATGGGGACCATATGGACTGGATTGTGGGGTCTAACCTGATTAATCAAGATTTACTGCTTTCACCGCTCCTCACATAAACCATTACGTAGCAGAGCAGGGATCAGACGCATAGCGGTCGCCCAAGAGCTCGAAAGCTGCGTTTTTCTTTCCCAAAAATAAAACCCTACAAACTCTCCACCTGAAGTGAAGCGACTAAACGGAGTCTCTGGGGCGAAGCTAACGGCCTTTTTGTTGTTTTGTGTTTGGGGCATGCGGCCATGTTTCCATGAGGCGCACTCAGAAGCATCCCGCGGATCAGGACGTGATTGAACCTGGGCTCGGGGATGACAGACACTTGAACCTTGCGGGAGAGTTTCCATTGCAGTTTATTTCATCACCATTAATGGAGGTCCCATTGACTGCTGGAAAGACGGCCGCTAAGAATAGCTGCCGCCCTTCCCTCAAAACATACAAACATACCTTAAATGGTCTGAAGAGGAGATACAGCTCCCGAGGTTTGATATCCAGCGGCAGCCCGCTGACGAATAGCGTTCGGACCTGAGGAAGACAAAGAACGGGATCATGTATTTTTCATTAACCTGCGGCGGTTATAAATAGCTGCAGTGGCTCTAACGGATGAGGTTATGAGTTAAACAGTTACCTGGGCTCTCACACAGACTCTCCAAACCCAGATAGAGGCGTCTTTCAGCTCAGCAAACACCGCCACACTGAGCGCATTGTGTTCTAATCTAGCAGTGTTTTATGGCCGTCCTCCCTCGCAGCGCTAGCCTCTGTTTTACATTTGAACTTTTCAACTCGCGACTGGAGCTGGCATCGGAATCGCAGTGTATACGTTAGCGGCGGCGGGCTAAAGGGGGAGATGTGATTGTTGTGGTAACACGGGGGGGCGACTCTCGGGACGGGAAGTCGCGATTATGTTTTCTTATTATGTCCAGGAAATGAAGGCAGGTACAACGGAGGTTTATTAAAAAAGAGAGAGCGCGTCGTACACGACTAAATACTTCCATGTGCTGCCGTGAAATCTCCATTTATTTCTATTTTCATGATGCAGAAGCAAAAAAACAGGTTGATGACATAGAAGAGGGTCCGCAGGAACCAAAACTGGCCCGTTAGCTGTGAAATCAGAGCAACAGGATGAAGGAGACAGAACAGGTGGACCCTTTAAACCCAGAACCTGGTGTTGAACTGGTTCACAATGCTGCTTTGGAAACTACGAGGGCTAATGTTTAATGTGAGGAATGCAGCTGAGCTCTGCTTTGTTTACACTCGAAGGCTTTCTCTGCTCAACGAGAAGATTGATGTCTGTTAGCATACAGCTAGCATGAGCTAACCAGCTGCAGGATTGGACGCTTGGTGCACAAATATGAGCCTAATATCTGCAATCAGGAAGAAAATAAAGGCGAATATTCACAAAAATTCCAGTTGTTATACCTTTAACAAAGTGGTAACAGTCAAACACAACCTCATTAACATCTCTAGCATGACTCAGGTTGCATAAAGTGGTCGACGTTGGCCGTTTTTGCACGCTAACGGCTAATAGCAGTTGTAGGGGGTTTACAGCAATCTGGTACGGTGAAAACAACAAATACCAAACACTAAACCACTTTGTTTTTCTTCAAAAAGTCTGTCTATACTGCTGCAACCAACTAACAACCAACAAAATAAGGACCTATAAAGGTGCAGCGTTTAGAAAATTAGCCTCAACTGTACTGTACTCGTGTTCGACAATATTGGATAAGTTGTGGATGAGTGTGTTTGTTATAATGTGGACGAAAGGTCGATGGATTACTTATAACACGTGTCTATAAAAACACTGAATTTTGCTGCTTTTAGAGCGTCTCTGGCGTTTGTTTTTGCTTCGGCCTAGTCTAAACTGTTAGCAACAAGCTAACGAGGAGATGAGGTGGCCCCATCTTTAATGAGTGACCCAAAACCCGACTCCGGTTTAACAATGTCTGCGTTTAGCTTTCGTCCGATCCACCCATCTTTGTCGTGGTAGTCATCGTAGTGTTCCCAAACGGTTTCCAATAGAGCGTCTTGAGTCCCGAACAGGAAGTCCCGACACCTCTAAACTCTACGAACCATACCTACAAAGTCTACCAACATCAGTAGTTCTTCAAGAAACGCAGACAAATTAGCGCCAACATTTAGAGAAAAAACAAACACAAACACAAGACGCAGGTGCCGAGACGTCCTGTCACGGCCCACGAATGCGAACCTGGCTTCGCTTCGGAGGCGGCGAAACGGCGAATTCCCGTCGTTGCATGTAATTGCGGATGACCTCAACGAAGGGGTCGGCCGGGGAGAGAGCTGTTAGCGCAGGTATTTCCAAACAATAAACCGACTACAACATGTGTCTCCCATTAAGGCATTTAACCTCCCTTTGAGCTCCGCAGAACAACACGGAGCGGCACCGGCAACAAACTGGGTCAGACCAGAGAATCATACATTCAGAGAGTCTAATCAGGAGTTCTACCTGGAGTTTAATTAAAGTTGGGAAATAACTGCTTCGGGAGAAAAAAAAAACACACAACCGACTCCGCCCAGCGACGTCGACGCCACGGCGGCGCAATCGAATGTTTTATTCAGCGATCCGATTCTATTTAAGGCCGAGTGAGAGAAACGTAGGTGTGCAATTACACGGAGCCGAGTCGGAGCTCCCAGATTCATTAGATAGTGGATTCACAACTCGGGGGACAAAGGAACTGCTGAACTAACACTACGCTTCATTCCCACATGTAACCTGATACGCACCGCTGGAGCCAAAGGCAGAGCAACACACAAACAAAGGAGCTTAGCAACTACAGGGGGGGGAGCCGGCGAGCGCCAAACCGCCCGTCCAGCCGGCGAAATCTCACCTCGGCCACTTTCTCACCTTCGCTCTTATCTTATCTGAGCCGAGCCGGACCCCGCGGGGCCGCTCTCTGTCCACAGCCGGTCCGGTTAAACAGAGCGGCTTATACGCACCGACACGGGAACAAAGAGTCACAACAGGGTGGTATCAATCAGGACGCTGATGAGGCTGGAGGAGGAAAAAAAACTAGTGCTGCAAAAATAGAAGCGACAAGAAAGCGTCTGTTTGTGCCGCAGCTAGAAGAAGAACCGACGCAAAGGTGTCGGCGAGACGAAGACGACAAACACTCAACATTAAACGGCTTCTTCTTCTAATGAAACACTGAGTTGTTCAGCTGCAACCTACGAATAAAACTGACAAAATGAGGTAAAAAATGCAAAAATAAACATCCACTAAGGTGCAGCATTTGGACAACCCGCCTCATCTGCAGTGTACTTGTTCAGATACTGGACAGGATGTGGATTAATGTTCATAAAGGGGTCGATAACTCTTGTTGCATATTTTGTTTTTGCTTCTAAATTTGGAGCAGAAAGGATCTGGTGTCCTGCGAGGTGACAGATTTATGCTCGGGACTTGTAATTTTAAGTTACTCAAGTTTGCGCCTTAAAAGCGAGGCTGGCTTTAGAAGGCCTGAGTCATCCCGTCCTCCCCGGCCAGCGGATCTGATCCGGCTAACAGGCGCTGGAGAGGCGCACAAGTCGAGGCAGACGCAGCGCCGGGCGGAACAATGGGACATTCTTGGCCTTGCAGCGGCGCTCATTCCTGAGACTTCCTGACGTCAGCTGTTGTGATATACGATCTTCCCGCGGCGTGGTGTCAACAGCTCTCCCCCGAGCACATCTGCCGTTGATCACGTTTGCGCCGCCGCCAGGTGACATCAAACTTTGACGACCACAAGCGAAGGTCGAAGCCTGAGCAGGTCTGTCAAATCAAACAAAACCTCCCGCCGCCGTTTTATTGTTTTACTGGATGAGTCGCATACCTGCATTTCCACAGCGCCGAGCGGCCCGTTGCGAGCCTTTTGAATCATTGACCATTTATGGCGAGCTCGCGCACCGGCACGCCGGCGAGGCTTCGATCAAAAGCAGCGGCGGCCACCTACCGCAGCCGGCGTACCGGCGCGGTTCCCTGGCAACGCCCGGGCCGAGCACAGCAGCCAGCGGAGCCCCGGGCCAAAAGCATCAGATCCTATTAAGGCCACTTCTGCAGCGAGTCCCAGGGGATCTGTGCACCTCTAATCAGAGATCCTCGACTCGGCGAGCGCCGGATGAGGTCACCGCCCTATTGATACTCTATCATCGAGCCTCGCGGGTTTTTCTTGTGCCACCGCATGGAAAAGAAAAAAAAAAAAAAGAGGCAAACAACAACCCAACTGAGGTGTTTGTGCTGAGAGAAAAGTCCCATTTTTTCTAGGTTGGGCCTTTGTTTTACTATTTTGTAATAGCTGCAGGGAAATCGAAGTGTTGTGGTAACATGAGGATGACTCCATGAAGCGCTCTGGGCTACAAGAGTTGTTTTTATTCATTATTTCATTGTGTTATTAGGAAACTTACACTTGCAAAAACACAGATGGTTGACATGATCTCAGCATAAACATTTTCCCATCTTTAGCGCCACAAATCAAAAAGGCAATTATCGCACTGACACCAGAAACAGCCCAAGATGTGTCCAAATGATGTAAAACTTGGCCAAAATTAGAGAAAATGTGTCCAAAATGACTTAAAATGTGGCCAAAACAGCATAAATCGTGCATAAAACTCATCCAAAATGACTGATAACGGTTCAGAAGTGCCATGAAAAGCACATTAAAAAAACAGCGGAATACCATAACGTTTAAAAACTGTTAAAATAAGAACTAACATCTGTAAAATAGCAGATTTAAATGCATTAAAATAGTGTAATTGTATCATCA